TGTATCATCAGCAATGTGTCTGTCTCGCTGTCAGCTCCCAGATCAGCTTCTCTGATTGGTTGATGCGGCGCGTCCAGCAGCAGCGCGTTGGCGGTGCGTTAGATGCTTAAATGCTCCTGACGTTTATCGAAACAGCATTCGATAAACTTAAGACTTTGTTTTCCAGAGCTCCTGTGCTGATCCAGCCAGATCCATCTAAACAATTCATCCTCGAAGGAGACGCTTCCGACTCTGGTGTGGGGGCAGTCTTATCCAAAAGACTCGACGCGGATCAAAGAGTTCATCCATGTGCCTTCTTCTCTGGTAGACTTTACCCCACAGAGCAGAACTACGACGTTGGAGACCGAGAACTCTTGGCCATCAAGCTGGCATTGGAGGAATGGAGACACTGGCTGGAGGGAGCTGAGCACCCGGTTCTTGTTTGGACAGATCACAAGAACCTAGCCTACATCCAGTCTGCAAAACAAGCCAATCCTCGTCAGTCTAGGTGGTCCCTATTTTTCTCTCGTTTCAACCTCATTATTTCTTACAGACCCGGATCAAAGAACGTCAAACCCGATTCTCTCTCTCGTCTTTACTCCGTTGATCAATCCGAGACGCCTGAACCTGTCCTTCCCGCATCCTGCACTGTTGGAGTGGTCACCTGGGAGATCACCGATCTTATTAACTCTGCCCTGGCTTCTGAACCTGACCCAGGTAACGGTCCTCCAAACCGAACTTATGTTCCTTCTTCTGTTAGATCTCGCCTGATACAGTGGATGCATTCTGCCAAGTTTTCTGCTCATCCGGGGGTGAGCAGGACCGTCGCCCTGATCTCTAGACGTTTCTGGTGGCCTACCCTTCACAAGGATGTCAAAGAATATGTTTTGGCTTGCTCTACCTGTGCCAGAAATAAGGCTTCACACCAACCACCCTCAGGTCTGTTGCATCCTCTCCCAGTTCCCACTCGCCCCTGGTCTCACATTGCTATCGACTTCGTCACTGGTCTCCCTATCTCCCAAGGTATGTCCACAATTTTTACCATCGTTGATCGATTTTCAAAGTCCTGTCATCTGATCCCCCTCAGGAAACTTCC